CTCTGAGAAGTTCTACACTGTCACTGCAACCAAACTCATGCAACAAAGCTGGCAGTCTCTGGAAACACATTCCTGATTCGACACATTTTAACTTGGGAGAGTAGACGTGGCAATAGAGCTAGGACTGCACGAATGGAGACGATATCGGTAAAACAGGAAGTGATAATACACATGTCTGAGAAGGTGATATTTGCATGAGACTGGACTACGATGGAGCTGGGGAACGCAAATTAAGAACTTCTCAACTCTTACTGACTCGGCATTTGATCGCAAGTTGCGATGCGCAACCGGCAAGGATTTGGCGACGGTCCAACGAAGCATTCAACTACGACCCATTACCACCTGATTGGGCTTACAGAGGCATGTACCTCATACGGCCAACGAATTCGTGTGAGAGCTCGAGACACTCGCACTCACCACCGCAGCTGTGAGCTATATGATGGCAGTATAGACAGTGATGCGGCGAGTCATGCTCAAGAACTCCCTCCACCTGTCTGTAAAGCATGAAAGTACAGCTCCCTCCCATCACCATGATGATCCAACATACGGCGGGTTATACAATGATTATGACCAGCCGAGTAGTGTACCTGATTCGCAACAGTTATGTAGACGACCTCAGCTGATGATGTGTTATGATGACATACCTCCCTACAGCTCAGCACCATGCTCTGTACTCCTTGTTACCAGAATTCCAGTTACTCCATCGATAAGCGTTGTAGTGCAGATGATGATGAACACGACGATAATCAAGCACTACTGCTCGTTCTGACTTCCGCGCTAAAAGCACCCTACAGCCTCGAGTACTGTATCGACTCAGACCAACAGCCTAGCGTTATACTAGCATCTGGTGTCCACTGAGCTGTTCCAATCCAAGAATAGCTCCTGGTGGCCCCTCGTAGGGATCGTTATAGCGGTACACAAACAACCCTGGCCATAACTGCTTACGACAGATACTCTTCTTGGTCACCCGTTGCTAGGACACAGACTATTAACGCAACACTGGGATGATCTAACAACACCTCAAAGGACACCAGCAAACCGAACAAATTGAGATAAGTAGTCATGCAAAGTCATGTAAGGAAGAATCGTCAAGTAATACGATTGATAGATGTAGGAGTCTCCTACTAGGAGAGCTCACTAGTTTCCTTATTTTTATCCACTGCGCAAGGATTGAATATTCGTAGTAGTGCTTCACTGCTCCTCTCACAGCCCAAGTTCAGCGCCTGCATAACTTGAACCCGAAGAACCCCTTACAAAGCTTGTTGTCAGAATCAATGCTTTCCTCACTACTCGTCGGTGCCTTGGGTCGACGCTGAGCACCTCTCCGTTTGAGCAGCGGATTCAACCGTTTCTTCTTCTCCTTTTTCTCAAGTACTTCCTCTACGCCGGGACGCGGTTGATTGACCAGCACATTGAGACGTTTGTAGTGACTAACAGTAGCGGCCTTAGGGCTAAAGGCGGTAGTGTATTCGCCATCTATCTGGAAATCTACTGGGGTCCTAGCATCAAGATCAGACCTAAATTCGAAAGTCAATGGTCCTCCAGTTTGATGTAGTCTGTTCCCCGTTGATTTAGCTCGTGCGCCAGCCTAATCAGGATCACCGCCAGGATCCTAGGTGAATATGTAATGGGTCATCACTCACATCGAGCGAGAAGGATGCGACATCGGTGTACATCATCAGCTCTAGCTTCTTGTCACCAAAGTCCTGCTGCTTATCTTTCAGAGTTTCATCCTATAAGATTACAGGGTTATCCTCCAAGGTTGTTCTCACCAACTATTGATCTTTCTTGAATTCTTTCATTCGGGTTGTGAACGCAGTATCAGAGTTGAAAATACGCACAAGCACGATAGTTGATACCGTCACGGTATTACCGTGTAATGACAATATAGATTCAGTTTACCTGATAGCCTATGATGGCGGATCCCTTCCCATACGTGCCTTCCCATATACGACGACCTCCTGCATAGGTGTAGGTGTTCAGACATATTATCGTGGCGGCGTTTTCTAAGAAAGTTTAAGATCAGTGTGAATGCAGTACGCATCAACCTACTGGTAAGAGTCTTATTCTCGCGTCTCGTAGAGCCTCTCCTACGAGCGACGTTAAACAGGAGGTGACCATCATCCTGAGATGGGTGCTCTAGGTACAGTACACATTACCACCTATGCTCATACCTTAACCGAATCAAGGAAGCTCTCCGTACCAACTCTACGTCTAACCGATGTCTTCAGTCCAGCTAGGGCATACCTATTAAGGTGCTCCATACATACATGCACTACTCATGCACTAATATCACATAAGGTGATTGCCAGCTCTGCTCCTGGTCCGCTTCTTCTGGAACTCTTTAAGGATGGTAGCATCCACACCAATGGAGAAGTAGTTAGACATCGATTTGGTGATACTCAGAGCATTTTGCTGAACACGGTGAGCAATGGCAAGAATCAGCCAGCTCGGTGATCCCAATAGACACTACCTTCAGGTCTTCTGAAGTTTGAATAACCTGCTCTTGAGCTCCTTCAGTGAACCAACCTCCAGGATGGACATCCACTGTGACCTGGAGCATGATGATGATGACATCACCATTTACTAGAGTTTAGTGATGTACGAAGACGACAAAGATTATAATAGAGGCTTGGGAGGTGAAACTCCTACTTACTTGCCAGAGGTCAAAATAGTGAACCGAGGCACCGGCCCAGTGATGTATCCATTGATTCAGGGCTCTGTTACCCTTACCAGGAAGAGTACTATCGATAGTCTTACCCCAACCGAGTGACCTGTGATAAGAATCATATGGTCGTCAAGGGTTGCCAGCTTACTGTGAAAAGTCATTCCCTGTTCCATAAGGGATGATACCGATAGCAACCTTCTCAAGATTGATGCCAGCTTTAGTCATCTGTATGATAGCAGTCCACCCCAAGAGCAAACCATTTTCCGTACAAGATCGACACCCCAAGTAACAGTGCCATCTCCACCTGCTATGACAACCTTCTCACACCTCTCAGGGGGGCCATTATCAATTGATTTCTTCAATGCCTCGATACCAGCATAAGCTTCGGCATCACCATTAGCCAATGCAATGATGTCGATCATGTTAACCTGGATACAACAATTAAAGGGAACTTCGCTAGGGTACATACCGTTGATTCATGATAATGATATGGTGTGTCCACAGTGAGCAGTCCTGCAGCCTTATTCCCACCAGACTTCGGGTTAACGAGGATGAGTATATCGCTGGACAGTTGTTTGCATACCTGATAATGATGATAGTGGTTGGAACAGAAATCCAGATAAAGATGCCTCTATTGGAACTCACGAGAGCATGCCCACCTCTCGCATAGGAGGACACCTCTGCCAGTAATTTTCTCACATTGTAACGGTACGAGAGTTACGATCGATAAGTATATCTAGATGATGATCGCTACCTACTTGTAGAGGGTCTGATGATATCAACGGCGTCCCACCTTCTTCAAGAGGGGATTCTTCAACGTGGGACAGCAAAGGCTCAGAGGCAGTGGTAAGGACAGTATAATGGCCAACAAGTAGTGCCCAGCAGCATAGGAGGGACATAGTGAGGTGTCGTTGGAGAAGATGGTACATTGATAACTGATCTATCTTCACAACATATAGGTGAAGGAACAACTCCCTCGAGGGGTATCGGAAATCTGACATCGCTCGAATTGCTGTTGTTTGGACTTTGAGAGACTGCCGTCTCGAGTGAGGGCACTATTTTCGAGCGATTCCATTGATAATGATGAATACTCCAGGTATGCGGCATACCGTATGCCCATATGTTATGCATGGCCGTGCTGAGAGGGATACTACAGTTTGGTTCAAGCATTCGGTGATAAGATTGAAGGTACACTAACCCAACCATTTGATATGCGATAGCAACAACAACAATAAGTGTGGTGCTCTCGTTACTCCTCCTGTGTTACAGTAATGGTTTCAAAGGGTACTAATGGTAGATATTGAAATGCACTATCAAGTTGGGGTAGATATTGATAAGACTTCAAGTTGTGATTCCAGCTCTCCTTGTTATTACTTTTCATTGTTTACCATCACTCTGATACACTGTTTATGGGAAATAGTGATCTTCTGGGGTCTCCGACATGTATAGAACTCGCCATCTATCTGAAAGTATATTCTAGTATCCTCAGATAAGGTAGATTTGAAATCCATCTCAATGGGACCATGCCCTTGATGTACTCGACGACCGTTGCCAGCCAATGGATACACCTGTAAGGAGTCTGACTCTGTAACTGTGGTTTCTGTAACTATAACGCTACATGTGATTGCTCCATCCCTATACCCATGAGGCTATTGTATGATACTAATTCTATCATACCATCGCCCATATCTTGTTTCCTCTGGAGTAATCCCTGAGTGAACTGTGAGAAGAGGTCCTGGTCATTGTATATGGTACTACCTTATCTGCACCCTTCACAGAGAGTTTCCTAGCCATACTCCATACATCACATCCACTAGCGAATGATGGTATATTAACCGCTATTAACGATACAGGATGACCTAAATGGTACAACTCCCACAGAGCTGCATGAATTGTGGTAAAGCCTAGTACTACTACCTACCCTGGATATACTTATCACCACCAGTAGATTTGGTCTGAAATATAAGCTCAGTATCATTATCATCATGCTGGTGCTGCTCTCCTCTCCTGCTATCCTCGGGCGAGAGGCTCTGAAGGGAAGCACGATTCAGACGATGTAAGGACCCCCGATGAGCCACTAACACTACCACAACCCTATCCATTGTTTCCTTTATTTTAGCAGTCTTCTTGAATAACATCTTCTTAGTCCCCTCCACTCCATACCTATGACCACATACAAATTTGAGTAGCAATCCATCCTACACTAGTTTATTCACAAATTGGCTTTTCTTCCTATTCCTATCAAAACCCAATCCCAACCTGGACTCCACACCAGTAGAGAAGTAGTTACACATAGGCTTGACCAACTTCTTTAACTTCCTATCGGTAGCATTACCCTACATGGGAGTACATCAATGTTATTAACGAGGTACTACTACCACCTCTGTGTCAGTCTCTGTGAGAGGTACCTTCTTACCACCCTTAAGTTGGTATATAACTCCACCGTCATCATCAAGATCAACCTCCACCTACAACTCGATGAGTATACTAACTCAGCCAAACCGTGCTATCAGGCCTACTAACCTCCCATATGTCGAACTGCTTAATAGTGGCAGATAGCCATCGCTTGAGCCACGTTCTAAAGCCACTAAGGCAGGAGCCAGGAAAGTCTGATGGTGCTGACGGTCCCCACCCCGTGGCTCTGATAGGAGAATATCATGTGTGATAGCAGTGTGTAGAGGAGCACCCTAACCTTGAGAAATCATTGCCAGTCCCGAAGGGTATGATGCCGATACACACTCTATCAGTATTAATTCCATGTTGAATCAACTGACACATAATGATGGCAGTACTCGGCTACCATACCGCCATACTTATCATAGTACTACCTCTTGCAATACCCACATGACAGTCCCAT